GATGGCTCAAGGGATGTGTGTGTAAAGAAAAGATCAGTAACACCAAAAATCTGAAACAACAAATTTGTGACAAGTGTCAGACCATTGACAATGACACAAGTATGCTTTGCAGTGTTCAAAGAGAATGGAAATACCATTTCTAAAGTTACTTTAAATTACAAGGAGAACATGTGAACACATTTTGTAGAATTCACTGAAGTGCCTATGGTTACAGACTTTTTGGACACCCCATATATAAATTTACAGTGCTACAACTTTAATTACTCCTGTGTGAGAATATGTATCACACTTTCTCAGCATGGTATTGGCACATTACACATATAATTATAAAATACATTAATTACCAGCAACACTTTTAAATGTAATACAGTTCAAAACAACTTTTAGACCTAGAAAAGGAAACCAAATATATAACAAACAATTTGACACTCTGTATATTAAGGCATGTTAGATATACATTAAGGGTGCAGTAAATAACATTTTTATTAATATATATACAATCTACACCAAACCCATGAATGTGCACATTTCTGCACAGTCAGCCCAACTGCTGAACACTAAAAACAATTTCTATTAACTAACAATATTGTTAGTTAATACTGGTACTGTGCTGCAGTTGTACTAAAAAAGTATCCAGGGTAATCAGTAGTCTAGAACAGCATTTCCCAAACTTTTCCAACTAGGGACCGGTTTTTGTAATATTTCATGAGGCCCGGCCTCCTCATATCCCTAATTAGATAACCCGCTAAGACATGGCTAAGTCTTAACATCAAGCTGGAAGCAATAGTTCTATCGATACATCATCGATTATAAAATATACAGGTGTTTAATAATACTACTGTGTAAAAAGAAATAATACTTCATAGTTATTTAATCTTTACATTAACTGCATATTTATTAATGCTCTTTTAAGAAATACAGTTACCTAATGAGAAGGATGATGCTGTTTTTCAGAAAATCAATGCTGGGAAGCCCGATTCGCATTTATAAGTCGTGACAAAGGGCATTAAAATCTCACTGCTTTTTTCTGATAAATTTGGATACTCAGCACAACAGCTCAGTCAAAAATTAATTAACAAGACTTGACTAAAATGGTCTTTC